AAAATTGGAAATAGAGTACGTACCTCATGATTTGAGAAGGGATGGTTACCTTAGAGACAACTAGATGGGGAGGTCTTGAAACCTTCAAAAATGGAGATGAGAGCTCTTGAAATGAAAAGAAGAGAAAATATGGGAATGAGGATGAGAGAATAGCAAGGGACGAATGAGAGAAAGAAAGAGAGAGTTTGGGATGAGAGATGTTTGGAGGGTAAAAAATGGTAAAAATAGGAAGACTTTTATATGGGGTACAAATTGGGGTAAGATTGAGGTACCTATAGTATTTTTGTAACATTTAAGTGCCTACTTGCCGCAAATAGTAACAAAGCCAAAAAATGCCGAAAATGGAAAATTTGGCCATTAGTCGATTTGCTTGATGTAAAGATGAGACAAAAAATCTACTCATCCCAAAATAATTTACAAAGTTAACTTTCTAGGTTAATTAATTATTTAGAATGTTTTTACTTGGATTGTTTTCAGTTACAGACCATATCAGATCAGACTTGGATAATTATAAAATACATAGAGATCAGACATTTATGAGATCAGACCAGATCAATTTAGACCACACCAGAAAAATTCACACCAAGTAAGAACATTCTTACTTATTTATCAAATTTATTTTTTTATTGTATTATAGTTTGAACTTTGCGACTTTAATTTATAGAACTTTCAATGTAATTTGTGATGTGTAATTTTTTTAAATTAAAATTGATTTGACTTTTAACAGAAATACTTTAACTCTATTGTCAGTAGATTTTAAAAATCTTAAATTACAATTCAATTCCAAACTCTATTTCACTAGATGAGTAATTACGTACATTTTTTTCCTTTTCCTGTTTGTGTCGAGAGGAAAAAGGAATTGAATAATAAAACCAACCTCAATTGTAATTTGAAGCTTTCTTTAAAAATGTAATTAAAGTTATTATATCTGTGCAGTCTCAACCTTCTAATGATTACACGTTTTTAGTTCGTATACGGTGGTACCGGTGCACAATGAACATCATGTTCTCAGGAGTAAAATTCGGATAAACAGTATCCACGGATGAACAGTAACTTTTTTTTTGTGTTTCACTAGCAGGGTGGTGTAACTCCCGTTTACAAAAATGTAACTCACGTTGATATGAAATGTAACTTGAGTCAAGTTGATATGTAAGTTGTCTAAAACGGAATGTAAAGGGAAAAACACTGATTTCAAGGTAAACAATGAAAAATTGATCCTGATTGCCCAATTACTCTTTATAAATAGTGAATATATTTTGAATTTTTAGTTAAAAAAATTCGTGTATATTAGCATGGTGAATTTAATGGTGTAACTCGTGTGCATTAAGATGTAACTCGGGTACAATAAAATGTAACTCGCGTACATTAAAATGTAAATCTAGAAAAGTTGAAATGTAAACTATCTTATATATATGTTATAAACATTCTCAATGTAAACAATAAAAAGTAGATCTTAATTGCCCAATTACTTGTCGGTGAATAGTGAATATGTTTTTTAATATTAGGTCTATAAAAATGATATAGTTAAAAAAATTATTTTTTGATCATTAGCAGTAGTTTATTTTGTGGTGTAACTTGCGTGCATTGAGATGTAACTCATACATAAACAAATGTAACTTACGTATAAGAAGATGTAATTTCATATAATATCAAATTTAAATAATAAAAACAAGTTTAATTGTTCAAAACATATAATATGTTTTGTTTTTAACATTAAGGACATAAATATTTTTAAGAAAAATCATTTTTGCTTATGGATGTGCTTATTTGACCAATAAATCAATTTATGTTATTTTTTATGGATAAATTTTGTTCTGAGTGGATTTTGTTCTCTGTGGATGGATAATCATTTATTTTGATGGTTTATTTGACCAATGCAATTGTGGCAGACCCATGTGCACTACACGATGTAGAGAATAGAGATTATTAAGGCTTTGGTGGAGAAACAGGGTGTGGTATAGAGACGAAGCAGTGATGGAGAAACGGTGGTGGAGAAAAAAAATGACGAAGTGAATATGGCTGATTAAAGGAGAGGGTTCCGTGTTTTTTTTTTATAAAAACGACAGCGTATTTGGACCGGCATACCATGAGCATGGTATGCCGGTCGTACGGTATAATTTGCCGCCTGCAGGCGTCCGACTCCCAGGCTCCCAGCGCCTTTGTTGTCTTCTACACCGAGCAAGTGAAACAAGAACAACTCAAAGCCAGGCAACCAGCAACTCCAAGTCTCCAACTCTACGCAGCCAAACTCTACGCCGAGTCGCCGAACAACGAAAAGTCGTAAGCTACTAAAACTCTTAGTCGACGATTCTTCAATTGTTAATTTATTAATTGTTAATTTTTGATAGTATATGTAATTGTTGGTAATGATGAATTGATGATTGGTGAATGGCTGAAAATTATTTGTTAAAGGTTAAATTTAGTAATTGTTAATTTAATTTTTTGTAGAATTTCTAAATTAATAATGTATTAATTGTTAATTGTTGATAGTATTTGTAATGGTTGGTAATGATGATTGGTGAAGGGTTGAAAATTATTTGTTAAAGGTTAATTTTAATTTAGTAATTGTTAATTTTATTTTTTTGTAGTATTTCTAAATTAATAATTTATTAATTGTTAATTGTTATAATCGTTTTAATTGTAGTATTTCTAGGTTCTTTAAGAAAGAATCTCTATGTTACGATTTTATCTCAAATGTAGTAAAGGGCCGAGTATTGATGGTTCTTCATCAAATAATGTAATTTCTTCGTCAGATAATATCACTCATAATGTTGAAATTAATGTCAAAAAGCCTCGAATAAAAGTTGAAATATCATATGATGACATTCTTGGTGATCCTGGATTGGGTAAAGCGATTGAAATTTTAGAGGCCCGCCTTGTCAGAGACCGAAATTTTAGAGGCATATCAAGCTGCTTGCCTTGCTGAATTGTCAGAGTTCTTCCCTTTCCTATTTGTGCCCCTGCAAGCTCCCTGAGCTGGTTCCGCCACTGAATACGATACAATTATATAAAATACGGCTACATATATATTTCATACGTTCGTGAAATGAATAAAGATACGAACGTGTTTTAAACGTTTCACAATTTAAAAATACGGCATATAATACATGTCTTATATACTAATTTAATGATGAGAATAAAGAGTAATTTAGCATATGCATTACATTCTTCAACAGTTTAAAATGTACGAAATAGTTTTTCAGATATACGAATTTTAATTCATAGTACAATAAATAATAAAAATGATATTGCCTATTTGTGTAGAAGTAGAGAAATATTTCTAGAGAATAGTTTATATTATTGTGACCGTAAATTTGGTGAGCCGCCATAATATTCTTTTCTTTTTGGAGTTTTGGTATGAGTGGAGAATAAGAGTAACAATAGTAATATAAAACAAATTATGAATTTATAAGACATAATAGTTTTTTAAGCATTATAAATAGTATTGAACAGCTAAACATTTCACTTCAGTTGTATCACTCCATTAGGTTTCAGTTTAATGGTATTTTTTAATAAAATACATATCAATACGTACGGTACGTGTATTATACACTTTATCCTTAAAGTACGTGATTTTTAAGTATTTTCTAAAAAATTCATAAACGGAAGTATTATATGCGAATTATACGTTTGAGTGTATTATACGTGAATTATACACGAATAAACTAACAGAGCTTCCATCCATTCCCCTAACTTTGTTTCGTTTTACCTTTTTCGCACGTCCCATTAAGTTTGTCTCATACCATATTTGGTAATATTTGATAGGTTACAATTTATTCTTACTTTATTAACACTTTATCAATTCAATATCAACCACACAATTCCACTTTTCTTAAAATTTGTCCCACACTCCTTTGTCTCAAACATAGTGGGACGAAGGTACGTAGTATCTTATACCGCGGTCTTGGTAAATTACTTCAATGTTTTTCAAATATTCTCTCTTAACACAACACACTTATTACAATCGGACTGTCCGCCACCAACAGAGTGACTTGATTATCCAAGAGAACTAAGGAGCAATTAATCAGATTAGGAGTTGAAAATTAGTGTTTGATTCTATTTAGGGAAGATTAGATATTGACTCCTGTTTAAGGAAAAGTTGTATGTTACGATTTACTCCTTTTTTTTGAAAGGATGATTTACTTCTATTAAAAAAAATTAATTTTTAATAAATCAAATTCAAAAGTATACATGTTGTATTTCTTAATCCAATACAGATGGGTTCCTTTCAACAAAAATCCAATACGAATGCGTTAAGAAAAAACAAAAAATAAATTTGCTATTTCAATCATTCAGATAAAATGAGAATGAGTATCTTTGGAATAAAATTCATTACCACCAAGGAATGTAAGAAAACCTAAGAGTCAAGTGGGGTTGAGATTAATTGAGTGCGTATGTTAGAAGTCTAGTCTAATCTAAATTGGTCTGATAGATGCATGTTCTATTTGTATTTTACCATTGTCAAAGTCTAGTTTGATTAGACTGGACTATATGTATTTTAAAAAATGTATGTTTAATCTGTTTACAATTGGTCTCGTCTGTAATTGAAATCAATCCAATTTTAAACATTCTTAATCTTCAAAAACACTTTTAGTCTTAGAGTTTTTTCTTGAGGAGGGGTGTTTTCAAATCTTATTTCCCAAATTAGGGTAGTTTTAAACTTATTTCCCAAACAGGGGTGTTTTTTGCCTTGTCATCCGGCTGGACGAGCCATGTCAGCGAAACCCGATTATTTGCGATTCCATGTCACCCGCTCGCCACGTCACCCTCTAGCATCAATTTGACATGGCTCGTCCACCCGGATGACATGGCAAAAAACACCCCTGTTTGGGAAATAAGTTTAAAACTACCCAATTTGGGAAATAAAATTTGAAAATATCCCTCACGAAAAAACTCTTTAGTCTTACCGTGGACAAATAAATTAAATAAAAAATTGCAAATAATAAGAACTTGAGTTTAATTCATTAATAGATCAAATTCAATCATTTATTGGTATTTGGCCCAAGTTACTATGACTGAGTTCAGCGATCCCAAACCAAACTTCAATTCTATCGATAACTAAAATTATTAACAATTAGTCTCGTCTGGAATTGAAATCAATCCAATTCTAAACATTCTTAATTTTTCTTATGGAAACTTTTTCGAAGAAAACTCAAATTGAATCTATTACTAGAAGACTTGGTTATTCACACTGCTTTGTGGTGGATTGTATGGGGCATAAAGGCGGGCTAGCTTTGATCTGGGGGGATCATATACAGGTGACAGACTGTCAGTTGTAGCTTCATCTCCTCATTATATTGATTCCCATGTTTGCATAGAACCTGGAACTCATGCGTGGAGGTTCACGGGATTTTACGGGTGTCCGGAGAGGGATAGAAGGCATGAGTCTTGGAGCATGCTAAAAAATCTGAGTTTTAGAGATGAATTGCCATGGCTCGTAATTGGTGATTTTAATGATCTCCTATACTCATCTGAGAAGAGAGGATCTATTCCCCATCCACAGTGGCTTTTGAGGGGGTTTAGGGAGGCGGTATGGGCTAGCGGATTGACCAACTTCCCGTTTGATGGTTATCAATTTACCTGGGAACGGTGGCGGGGTCCCCGGGCTGATTCAAAGAGAAATTGGACCGAATCTTGGTATCAGACAGTTGGTTAGATATTTTTGGAGAGGCTCGGGCAACATCGCTTGAAGGTGCCCCGAGTGATCATTTACCATTGTTTATGTCCCTACGGCAAGAAGGGCGTACCTATAGAAGAAGGAGGTTCAAATTTGAGAATATGTGGCTTCGGGAAGCTGACTGCCGTGAAGTGGTGTAGTAAAGTTGGGGTATTGGTAGACCTTTGGGTGTGATGGGGCAGGTTGAACAATGTGCAAAAGAAGCTGGTCTTTGGGGCAGTAGACGAAATAGAGGTTTCAAGAGGAGAATTGAGTACTACAGCCAGAGACTTCAGGATTTGCGGAGTAGATATGATAGCAGGAGTATGGCGGAATTTAGCAGGGTCAAACAGGTTTATTTGGGACTCCTTGAACAACAAAACACCTTTTGGAAACAGAGAGCGAAGGCCTTTTGGTACAAAGAAGGTGATATTAACTCAAAGTATTTTCATAACATGGTCAAGCAGCGGAGGAGAAGTAACCATGTACAAGGCTTGATGGTGGAAGATGGACGGTGGGTCAATAATCGTGAGGAGGTGGGGGAGATGATCGAGGATTATTATGCTATAATCTTTTCTTCTGTGCAATCTCCCGGAGAGTATCCCAATTGGTCGGTACCTATGAAGTTGAGTGAGGAGCATAATCTAAATTTGCTTCGGCCAGTGACCTAGGAGGAGGTTCGGAGTGCCCTGTTCGCTATGCACCCAAGCAAATCTCCTGGGCCAGATGGACTTAGTCCGGCTTTCTACCAGTATATATGGGATGTAGTGAGTCCAGATATTGTTGGATATTGTAGGAATGTCTTTGAGTATGGTAAGTTACTCTTGGTAAATTGATGTAACGTACCTCGAAAGTACGGCAACGAAAGTTTAAAATTTTTCCAAACAGATCTTCCCTGATTATGATAAAATAACGAATATGATAATAATAACAGATCTGAGTTAGAACTTACAGATCTTCCAGCCTAGCGGTGATAATCCTTGACCTTTGGTATCCACGTGATTTCTCCTTCCCGAAAGAACGGTTAGATCTCCCTAAGAGAAAGGCTAGGAAATCTCTTCGCAGGGAAATAAACTGTTAATACTGAGTCTGAAAACTGGTCTACAAATTATGAAGGAGAAGGATGTATTTATACTAGTTCGAAACTAGTTTCCCAATCACAATGAAAGTCTTTCTAATTAATGAGTTCTAATCCTACTAGGACCAATACTCCTAATTAATTAAATAAGTAGATAAAACAAAACAAAATAATAATAATAATAATTGAGATGTGGCTGCACGCCACTTTCTAATTATTATGTATTAATATTTATTTTATTTACTTTTCTTTTAATTCCAAATTACAAAAGAAAATATCTACTTTATTTAATAATAAATACATCTTAATTAAGTATGATAAATCTAATTTATCTTACTTAATTAATTCTATCAAATAGAACTCTCCTTCAGCTTCATGAATTAAATATGTTTAATCTAATTAATATTTAATTCATTTTCAGTATTACGAATTAAATATTATTTAATCCAATTAATAATATTTAATTCCTTCTAACAATTCAATCGGAAGGTATAATCACTTGTTGTGTGACCCATAGGGCCTTATATATTAAGCACTAATCAAATTAAGGTCTTAGCGAATCCCTAGACGATTCTCCAGACAAACTTAATATATAAGGACGTTTGCGAGGACTATACAAACTCCCTGTAATATAGAGCTTATAGTGATACGGTCATTTCATTCAGCGAACATTCAACTAAGTCTAGAACATGATATAGTGTCTATCCCAATAACTCAGTCTCTGTCTCTCAATCTTTCTAGATGATCCATAACGATCATATTCGATATCCAAAACGAATATATCTTTGCATTGGCCAATGACTTTATGATCCATCTAGATATGAGAAGTAGAATGTTCTCTCTTAATCTATTATGAGGAATGAATCCTTTCTTGGCTCAACTACTACTCCATGTGCTTTGTGATGCACCCAACACATGCCGTATCTACCCCGATTGGAGTGCAAGCGTTGGTCATGATCAAAGTACATCACTCCGCACATGTAGTACGTATTGACCTCAAGTCGGAGGACTATTACACTACTCTATACGCCGATAATCCCATAGACACATGAATAGAACTTATCAAATGGTTTCTCGGTGGGTATGCCAATATTCTCTAAAATATCTATGTGACCATCATGAATTACAGGAACTCATAGTCGTGAGATCAACTATACTTTCTAAAAGTATGATGCAGTCCACATACCAATCTTATCGTATATCATCAATATCCCATTCTTGATGATCATTGATTGGGGCTATTTTAGGACCTTATGTTATATCATATAAGCTCCCACTTACTTATTGACAACATAAATCCAAGGGAACACAATTATGAATAAAACATTGACAATCGAAAACAATCACTCATAAAGTCTAATACCGTGTATATATCAAATATAAAAACTAAATGTGATCAAGTACATATGTCTTTAAAGAAATGATTATCGCTAGGACATATATACTAACAATCTCCCACTTGACCTAGTGCCAATCACCAATGCGTCTAACACCTAGATTCTCAAAATGTCTAGTATGTTTCTCACAACTCAAAGGTTTGGTGAAGGGATCAGTCAAATTGTCCTCAGTGGAAACACGTTCTATTGCAACCTCTCCTCTTGCTATCTGCTCTCGAATCACATGATAGCGCCTCGGCACATGTCCATTCCTCTTGTCGCATCTTGGTTCCTTTGCTTGTGCAACAGCACCAATATTGTCACAATAAATGGTTATTGGACGACTGTCATTTGGAACAACCCCTAATTCTTTGAGGAATTCACGTATCCATACGGCCACTTTTGCTGTTTCTGATGCAACAATGTACTCGGCTTCTGTTGTCGAATCAGCTGTAGTGTCTTGCTTGGAACTCTTCCAGTCTACTGCTGCTCCATTGAGATTAAAAACATATCCTGATTGTGACTTATAGTCATCCTTATCTGTCATGAAGCTAGCGTCAGAGTAACCAGATGCTATTAGTTTCTCTTGTCCACCATAAACCAAGAAATATTCTTTAGTTCGTCTAAGATACTTAAGAATAGTCTTAACAGCACTCCAATGCCGTTCTCCTGGATTATTTTGATATCGACCAACAATACTAAGCGCATAAGCCACATCTGGCCTAGTACAGATCATAGCATACATGATTGAACCAATTGCAGAAGCATATGGAATCCCTCTCATGCGTTTGATCTCATCATCAGTTGAAGGACTATCCTTCTTTGATAACGATATCCCATGACCCATCGGGAGGAATCCTTTCTTAGATTCTTCCATTTTAAATCGATGTAGTATTTTGTCAATATACGTGGATTGTGAAAGACCCAACATCCTGTTAACTCTGTCTCTATAGATCTTAATCCCAAGGATATAACAGGCTTCACCTAGATCTTTCATCATGAAGATATTGGATAACCATTCTTTCACGGACTTCAATAAGGGGATATCATTCCCTATGATCAGAATGTCATCAACATATATGACCATAAAGACCACGCTATCCTTGTTGCGTTTTGTATACACACGCATCCTCATTGCTTCTGATGAAGCCAAACGATTTGACCGCTTCATCAAAACGGATATTCCAACTCCTTGAGGCTTGCTTTAGCCCATATATGGATTTCTCCAATTTACATACTGATTTGGGATTTGACTTGGATATAAAACCTTCAGGTTGTACCATGTACACCTCATCCTTGAGGTTTCCATTAAGGAAAGCAGTTTTGACATCCATTTGCCAAATCTCATAATCATAGTATGCTGCTATCGCAAGCAAAATTCGAATGGACTTGAGTTTTGCAACTGGCGAATAGGTGCCACTATAGTCAATTCCCTCTCTTTGACTATAACCTTTAGCCACTAGCCTAGCTTTGTATGTTTGCACCTTGCCTTCGGCATCAATTTTCTTCTTGAAAACCCATTTGCATCCAATGGGTCTAACCCCAACAGGCAAGTCAACCAAGTTCCATACTTGATTGATATACATCGAGTCCATTTCAGATTTCATGGCCTCTCGCCACCTCTCTGAATCAATATCTAATATTGCTTCAGTGTAAGTCTTAGGTTCATCCTTGTCAGGAATTTCAACATCATCATGATCCTCCATGAGGAAGCCAAACCTAGTTGATTCATGACGAATCCTAGTAGACCTACGAAGTTGAATATTTTGCGATTGTTCAGGCTGCTCATTCTGATTGTGAAGAGGTTCTCTTTCATTGGACTGTCCAATGCTCGAAGAATTTTCTGGTGCTACACTTTTAAGTGTTTCCAGAGAAGGAGAAGTAGGTGCAGAAGGAATGACAACCATGTCATTTCTTTCATGCCTAATAGGAACCACTTGCTGGTGCGAGGTGTTTCCTATATTACTCCCACTAGCTGAAGGATATCCTCCTAGAGACATACTTCCGCTTAATCCGCCCACTGAATCCTTGTTTTGACCATCTAACAAGTCTTCATCCTCTATGTTATTTTGTGATTCTTGAATTTCTTCTAGTACTATCTTCTCACGATTGAATTCCTTGAAGACCAAGTCTTCTTCTAGGAATCGTGCCTGTCTGGAAATAATGATTTTATGTTCCTCAGGATGATAGAAATAGTATCCCCTAGTTTCTTTAGGATACCCCACAAAATAACATCTCTCACTTCTAGCTCCTAACTTATCAGTGTGCAATTTCTTTACATAAGCAGGGCAACCCCACACTTTAATATGTGAAAGAACATGCTTCTTATTACACCATAACTCATATGGTGTCTTTTGCACTGATTTAGATGGAACTCTATTCAGAATGTATATCGAAGTTTGCAATGCATACCCCTAAAGAGATGTTGGAAGAGACGTGGAATTCATCATGGACCTAACCATGTCTAACAAGGTTCTATTTCTCCTTTCAGAAACACCATTCAATTGAGGTGTTCTTGGAGGAGTCCATTGTGACTGAATTCCCTGACCTTTTAAGTAATCAAGAAACTCCTTACTCAAGTATTCCCCTCCACGATCAGATCGTAGAGTCTTGATACTCTTGTCAAGTTGCTTCTCTACTTCAGCCTTATACTCCATGAATTTCTCAAAAGCTTCTGATTTGTGTTTCATAAGATACACAAATCCAAACCTAGAGAAATCATCAGTAAACGTGATGAAGTAAGAAAAACCTCCTCTAGCTTGAGTTGGGAATGGTCCACACACATCTGTGTGAATCAATTCAAGCACTTCTTTGGCCCGTAGTCCTTTTCCAAGAAAAGGTTTACTCGTCATTTTAGCTGAGAGACACGAATCGCAATTACCATATGATTCAAAATCAAATGGTGTTAAGTAATTTAATTTACTTAACCTTGCTATTCTGGCTTCATTAATATGACCAAGCCTACAATGCCAAAGATATGTGGTATTTTTCAGATTACTTAACCTTGGTCTTTTATTTTGTACATTTAATATGTCATGTCTACAATTAAGAACATATAAACCATTCATAAGAGGAGCATTTCCATACACAATACCATTTTGTGAAAAACAACAAGTGTTATTAGCAAAATGAAAAGAAAAACCCTCAATGTCTAACATAGGAATGAAAATTATGTTCTTTGTTATAGAAGGAACAAAATAACAATTATTTAGTTCTAATCTATAACCACTGGGTAAATCTAATATATAAGTCCCTACACGTTCAGCATCAACTTTTGCTCCATTTCATACACGTAGGTCAATCTCACCCAGCCTAACTGCTCTACTGTCATTTAGGCCTTGCACACTATTGCAAATGTGTGAGCCACAAGCCGTATCTAATACCCAACAGTGAGA